GCTCTATCCACTGAGCCAAACAGGTTTTGGCCTCTGCTCCATTTTCAAGCCTCACCGCGGGGTCCACAGAGGGCCATCTGCACAGGCTGTTCCCAGGCCTGGAGTCACTCTCCGCCTTCCCCTCTCCAGCCCGCCTTCACCTGCCGACCCGGCTCCTCCTTCAGAGGTCACCGCACTGGCCCCTCCTCCCCCAGACAGGGGCCATGCCCTCTCCTCCCCAGCCACCCTCCTCCCTCCCGCCAGCCCAGAGGTTCCTGCTTTCCTGGCCACGCCCTGGCGTCCACCAGGAAGTTTTGAACTCTCACCCCACACACGCATAGCTGTTTGCTGACCCACCATGGCAAGCAGACCGCATGGATATGACAGGCGCAGACAAGACACACCCTCAGAGAGGAGGGTGACATGGGCCACGCCCCGGAGATGGTCTCCACGGTAACCAGGCAGCCCAAACCCACCTGAGAGGCGGAGCTGCTCAGGAGTGGCAAACCGGCTGACACCCCCACACACACCCCACACCCCGGCGTCCGTCACCCAGGCCAGCTGCGGCCTGCTCGGGCAGTCCCTGCTCCCGGCCCGGGAGCTGCAGGCATGTCTGCGTGCTCACCGCGGGCCAGGCACTGTGCCAGAAATAACACAAGCGCTTCTCACCGTAGCCCCAGGGGGTAAGGTCTGCTTTTGTGCTCCGAGCACAGGTAAGGCCCAGAGAGGTGCGATAATTTGCCCAAAGCCACACAGCACAGGTCCCCGGGTGACATGTGAACCCTGGCAGGGCCTGTGCTCCTGAGAAGTGAGCTCCGAGGGAAGCTTTCTTGGATGGAGGGATGGATGGAGGGAGGGAGGGAGGGAGGGAGGGAGGGAGGGAGGGAGGGAAGGGTGGATGGATGGATGGGTGGGTGGGAGGATGGATGGATGGATGGATGGATGGATGGATGGATGGGTGGATGGGTGGATGGATGGATGGATGGGTGGATGGATGGATGGGTGGGTGGGTGGATGGATAGATGGATGGATGGATGGATGTGTGGATGGAAGGAAGGAAGGAAGGAAGGAAGGAAGGAAGGAAGGAAGGAAGAATAAATAGATGGGATGGGTGGGTGGATGGATGGATGTAAAGATGGATGGGTGGGTGGGTGGGTGGGTGGATGGATGGGTGGATGGATGGATGGAAGGAAGGATGGATGAATGGATGGAAGGAAGGAAGGAAGGATGGACGGATAAATGGATAGGTGGAAGGAAGGAAGGAAGGAAGGAAGGAAGGAAGGAAGGAAGGAAGGAAGGAAGGAAGGAAGGAAGGAAGGGAGGATGGATGGGTGAATGGATGGATGGATGGATTGGTGGATGGATGGATGGATGGGTGGATGGGTGGATGGGTGGGTGGAAGGAAGGATGGACGGGTGGATGGATGGAAGGAAGGAACGGAGACAGCCAAAAAAGAAAAACAGAAAGTGACACAGAGGACAGAGACGGGGAGAAAGAAAGAGACAGAACCTCAGAGAGGAGGGTGACATGGTCCACGCCCCCGAGGGCTGGCGCTTTAACCCTGACCCCGGGCAGGAGCGTGAGAAACTGGCCACGTCTGCGTCTGCGGAGACCCAAACCCGCCTCAGGTGGCGCCGCGGGAGGGAACGCCCTTGGACGGGTCCCAGAGCCGGAGGAGGGAAGGGGGGGCCCGGGGAGGGGGGGACCCCGGGGCGGGGTCAGCGGTCCGGACCGCCAGGCGGGTCCCAGGGCCAGCTCCTCACCCCGGGTCTGCGGGGTCCACGATGAAGGCGGTGCATGTCTTCTTCTTGAAGATTTTGGGGATCCAGCTCTGGGGGCGGGACAGGGGCGGGGCTCAGGTCACGCCCCGCGCCCCGCGCCCCGCGCCCCGCGCCCCGCGCCCCGCCCAGGACCCGAACCAGGGACCCTGTGCCTCCTCCCCTGGACTTAGGGGTTCCCCCCGCACCCCCCTCCTCGCCGCTCCCAGGGACCCAGTTCCCGGCCCCCCCAAACCCCTTCTCCGTCTGACCCGGATCGGGGTCCCCACCCGCCTCTCCGGGGACCCGGCGCCCGCTCCCCGCGCCCGCAGCCCGGCCCGGCCGGTACCTGCTCTTTCGGGCCCGCCATGCCGCCGCCGCCTATCCGGCTCCCCGCATTCCCTCCGCCACCCCGACCTCAGGTCCGCCCCGGACAAACCGGATCTGCCGCTTCCCGGCTGGCCGCCGGCCCGGAGGCGGGGCGTCTCCGGCTCCCGACGCAGGAGCGCGAGGCGGGGCGGAGGCGGACGGGCTGCCAGGCGGAGGCGCAGACAGAGCCACAGACACCCAGAGAGAGAGGGGGACAGACACCCAGAGAGAGGGGGACAGACACCCAGAGAGAGAGGGGGGGGGGGGACAGACACCCAGAGAGAGAGGGACAGACACCCAGAGGGGGGGGGGGGGGAGAGACAGACACCCAGAGAGAGAGAGAGGGACAGACACCCAGAGTGAGGGGGACAGACACCCAGAGAGAGAGGGGGGGGGGACAGACACCCAGAGAGAGAGGGACAGACACCCAGAGAGAGAGAGAGGGACAGACACCCAGAGTGAGGGGGACAGACACCCAGAGAGAGAGGGGGACAGAGACCCAGAGAGAGGGGGACAGACACCCAGAGAGAGAGAGAGGGACAGACACCCAGAGAGAGAGAGAGGGACAGACACCCAGAGTGAGGGGGACAGACACCCAGAGAGAGAGAGAGGGACAGACACCCAGAGTGAGGGGGACAGACACCCAGAGAGAGAGGGGGACAGAGACCCAGAGAGAGGGGGACAGACACCCAGAGAGAGGGGGACAGAGACCCAGAGAGAGAGGGACAGACACCCAGAGAGAGGGAGACAGACACCCAGAGAGAGGGGGGGGGACAGAGACCCAGAGAGAGAGGGACAGAGACCCAGAGAGAGGGAGACAGACACCCAGAGAGAGGGGGGGGGGGGACAGAGACCCAGAGAGAGAGGGACAGACACCCAGAGAGAGGGGGACAGACACCCAGAGAGAGAGGGGGGGGGGACAGAGACCCAGAGAGAGAGGGACAGAGACCCAGAGAGAGGGAGACAGACACCCAGAGAGAGGGGGGGGGGGGGACAGAGACCCAGAGAGAGAGGGACAGACACCCAGAGAGAGGGGGACAGACACCCAGAGAGACAGAGACCCAGAGAGAGGGAGACAGACACCCAGAGAGAGAGGGGGGGGACAGAGACCCAGAGAGAGAGGGACAGACACCCAGAGAGAGAGAGAGGGACAGACACCCAGAGAGAGAGAGAGGGACAGACACCCAGAGAGAGGGGGACAGACACCCAGAGAGAGAGGGACAGACACAGAGAGAGAGAGGGAGACAGACACCCAGAGAGAGAGGGACAGACACCCAGAGAGAGAGAGGGAGACAGACACCCAGAGAGAGAGAGAGGGACAGACACCCAGAGAGAGGGGGACAGACACCCAGAGAGAGAGGGACAGACACAGAGAGAGAGAGGGAGACAGACACCCAGAGAGAGAGGGACAGACACCCAGAGAGAGAGAGGGAGACAGACACCCAGAGAGAGAGGGACAGACACCCAGAGAGAGAGAGAGGGACAGACACCCAGAGAGAGGGGGACAGACACCCAGAGAGAGAGAGAGGGACAGACACCCAGAGAGAGGGGGACAGACACCCAGAGAGAGAGAGAGGGACAGACACCCAGAGAGAGGGGGACAGACACCCAGAGAGAGAGAGAGGGACAGACACCCAGAGAGAGGGGGACAGACACCCAGAGAGAGAGAGAGGGACAGACACCCAGAGAGAGGGGGACAGACACCCAGAGAGAGAGGGACAGACACACAGAGAGAGAGGGAGACAGACACCCAGAGAGAGAGAGAGGGACAGACACCCAGAGAGAGAGGGACAGACACCCAGAGAGAGAGAGGGAGACAGACACCCAGAGAGAGGGGGACAGAGACCCAGAGAGAGAGAGGAGGGACAGAAACCTGGAGAGAGAGGGACAGACACCCAGAGAGAGAGAGGGGGACAGAGACCTGGAGAGAGAGGGGGGGGGACAGAGACCCAGAGAGAGAGAGAGGGACAGACACAGAGAGAGAGAGGGAGACAGACACCCAGAGAGAGGAGGGACAGAGGCACACAGAATGGGGGACAGAGGCACAGAGAGAGGGGGACAGAGACCAGGGAGGGGGCACAGGGACCCTGGGAGGGTGGCCAAGACTCGGGCGGAGGGCAGACACTCAGAGTGAGAGGGAAAGGCAAGCCGAAGAGGGGGGGGGGGTGGGATCTGGGGGGCCAGGACAGGGACCCCGAGAGGCGGAGGGATGGAGCCCTGAGGGAGAGAGGAGACCGGGGCAAGGGGCTGGGGACCTGCAGCGCCGTTGGGAGGGGCTGCAGAGAGGGGGACACGGACACACGTCCCCGCCAGCCAGCTCTGACGGGACAGCTGGCCCTGGCCGGTAACCGGAGCCCCCTGGGTATTTATAGCCTGGCCTGGCCAGGCCCCGGCCCAGGTCTGTGCCAGGGACAGGAGGTCATGGCACGGGGTGCTGGGCGCAGCTCCTCTGGCCCCTGGGGAAAGCCTCTGATCGGCACCCACTGGCTCAGCACAGTCTCCTGTTCCGCCAGAACCCCCTGGTCTAACCCCACCCTCCACCCAGCGGCCTCCCCCCTCAAACACACCCTCCTGGCCCCCCGCTGCCCGGCCCCCCGAGGTGGCCCGTCACAGGTCTAGCTGTGGTCTTTGCAGCTGCCAACCATGAGCTTGTTGGGAGTCCAAAGTCAAGGCCCTCGAACCCTCCTCTCCTGACCAAAGAGAGACCCCTTCACCCACCCCCTCGCAGCTGGGAGGAGGGGGGGGAGGAGGAGGAGGAGGCACAGGAGGGAAGGACAGGGGGACTGACCCAGAATAACTCAGGGCCCAGGGTAAATTTAGCCACAGAGCGGGGAGGGGAGAGGCCCTATTGGCTGGCAGGTGGGAGGGAGGGCCCGCGAGGGGTAAGGGGTGAGGGGCTGGGAGGCTGCTCACCGGGGTGTCTGGTGCCACAGCGAGGGCCAGAGGGAGGCAGACGGGCAGAGGTGGGAGAACCACAGCGAAGGGGCGACAGAGGGAAAGAGGAAGACTCCAGGAGAGACGAGAGCCCCCAACATTCACCCACGTCGCCGCCAGTGGCCACCAGAGCGAGCCTGGGGCAAGGCCTGCCGCCCGTCCGTCCCCATGGGCCGCCGCAGGCCGTGGCTGCACTCCGCTCTGCTCTGGGCGGCCGTGGCCAGCCTGCTCCTCCCTCCGGCGCTGGCCCAGCAGCTGCGAGGGCCCGGCCCCAGCAGCTGGAACAGCAATGCCGGTGTCTCCTCGGAGGACGTGTCCGGTGAGTTTGGCCACGCCGTCCACGGCCACCGAGGCCACGGCCACGAGGGCGAGGCTGTTCTCACGGGCCGCGGGCCTCCGTTCTGGAGCCACCGGGACCGCGGAGAGGAGGACGAGGGCGATGTCTCCGGGGAAGACGGTCGCCAGCTCCACGGCCACGGGCACCGAGGCCACGGGGCCGGAGAGGAGGATGACTCCGACGAGGAGGCCTCCACGGAGCGTGGCCGTGGGGACGAGGATGGGGACGATTCGGAGGAGCATGGGCGCCCCTCCCCAGGCCATGGGAGCCACGGCGGCCACCAAGACGAGGAGGAGAGCGAAGTCGTGTCCAGTGAGTATCGGCGTCGTGTCATGAGGCACGGGCCCCGAGGCCACGGAGAAGAAGATGATGATGACGATGATGACGACGATGATGTCTCTACTGAGTATGGGCACCAGGCCCATAAGCACCGAGGCCACGGAGAAGAAGATGATGATGATGGCGATGATGACGATGATGTCTCTAATGAGCATGGACTCCAGGCCCACAGGTCCCACGGCCACAGGGAGGAAGATGAGGAAGACGACTCCGATGAGCACCACGACCACGTCCCTGCCCACGGACACCGAGGCCACAAAGAGGAAGATGATGACGATGATGATGATGACGATGATGAAGATGCCTCCAATGAGTATGGACACTGGGGGTTCAGGCACCAAGAGGAAGAAGACGACTCCGAGGAGGAGCACCCCCACCACGTCCCTGGCCACGGACACCGAGGCCACAGAGAAGAAGAAGATGAGGAGGAGGAGGAGTATGGACTGCAGGTCCCTGGGCGCCAAGGCCACGGGCCGGAAGACGACGCTGCCCCAGACGGGCACCACCACCATGCGCTGAGCCGTGGGCATCAAGGCCACGGAGACAAGGAGGAGGAGGAGGAGGATGTGTCCATGGAGCACTGGCACCATACTCCCCACAGCCTTGGGGATGAGGAGGAGGAGGAGGTCGCAGCCAAGTTCAGTCACCACGTGGCCAGCTACCAGCCGCGGGGCCCCAGGAGCGCCGAGGAGGGGTACCTCGCGGATGAGGATAGCACAGACGTGCCCCGCCCTCACCCCCGCCCAGTCCCCGGGGAGGGAGAGGAGGCCCACGCGGCCACACGTGGCCACCCCGCTGTCAGTCAGCTCGGCCACGGCGACGGAGAGGCCGGCCAGGAAGTGTCCATCAAAGCAATGAGCCCCCAGGCCCCAGAGCACACGGGGGCCCGGGACAGAAGCCATTCGGGGGAAGGAGATTCTGAGGAGGAAGAGGAAGAGGAAAAAGGAGAGCGCAGCTCGCAGGAGGAGGAGGAGGAGGAGGAGGAGGAAGGCTCAGAGCAGAGAGAAGAAGGCACCCACCTGGCACAGGAGGACGAGGAAGAGGAGGAGGGAGGCCGTGGCCTCAGCCTGAGCCGAGAGCAGGAGGAAGAGGAAGAGAGGAGAGGAGAGAGGACTGAGGTTCAGGCCCCACTGAGCCAGGGGGAGGAAGAGGAGGAGGAGGAGCTGGAGGAAGCCCAGCTCCCCTTCACCATCATCCCCAACCCGCTGGCCAGGAGGGAGGCGGCGGGCGGAGGCTCCAGTGAGGAGGAGCGTGGCGAGGCCGGTAAGCCGTCGGGCCCGGGGGAGCGGGAGGAGCTGAGTCCGTGTGGTCACTGCTGCCCTCCTGTCCCCACAGGCCCGCAGGACGCCCAGGAGTACGGGAACTACCAGCCAGGGTCCCTGTGCGGCTACTGCTCCTTCTGCAACGTATGTCCCAGCCCCGGCCACCAAGCCGTCCCTGCAACTGGTCCCTGGGCCTGGGCTGCCTGCGGAGGGCCCTGAGCAAAGAAAGGGCAGGGGCAGCCCTAACCGGTGTGGCTCAGTGGATAGAGCGTCGGCCTGCGGACTGAAAGGTCCCGGGTTCGATTCCGGTCAAGGGCAGGTACCTTGGTTGCAGGCACATCCCCAGTGGGGAGTGTTGCAGGGGGCAGCTGATCCATGTTTCTCTCTCATCCATGTTTCTAACTCTCTATCCCTCTCCCTTCCTCTCTGTAAAAAATCAATAAAAGAAAAGAAAAAGAAAAAAAGGAAGGGCAGGGGCAGTTCCAGGTGGAGAAAGACACTGCTGGGGCCGTTTGGGGGGGGGGGGGACTGGAGCCGAGGCGCCGATGGGGGAGGCTGGGGCACCGTCAGGAAGGGGAGGGTGTGAGGAGAGGAAGGTCTGTGACCAGGAGCGGGGAGAGAAGGGTGCCGGGGGCTGGGGCTGGGGGAAGTAAGAAAGGGGAGAAGGGAGCATCCTCAGCCCCCCCCCCAGGGATGGGGGGATGGGAAACCAAGCAGTCAGATGGCTCTGGGGGGTGACACTGAGCTGGGGTGGGAGGTAATGGGGTGAGGAGTTGGGGGAGGGTGGGAGACGGGCAGGTGGCTCCCAAAGGGGTTAAGGTTTCCTCTAACCAGCTCCCTCCGGTTCCCAGCGATGCACTGAGTGTGAGAACTGTCACTGTGACGAGGAGAACATGGGGGAGCACTGTGACCAGTGCCAGGTGAGACATCCCCCGCCCCCAGAACTCAAAGCTCCACGCCCGCCTCAGGGTGGCCCAGACCCCAATCCTGGCCTCTGCACCTCCATCTGACCAAGCCCCCTTGCCGCCGATGCAGCCTTGGCTCCCACTCCAGTCCCGCCTCTGACCTTGACCTCCACCTAGCAAGCCTCCATCCCACGCCCCCCCCCATCCTGACGCTGCCTTTGACCGCGTCCTGTCGCTCACTCTTTCCCCCTCCCCCTCCCAGCATTGCCAGTTCTGCTACCTCTGTCCGCTGGTCTGCGAAACTGTCTGCACCCCAGGTAAGCGTGGGGGGGGGGGGGGTCTCAGGGGAAGCCTGAGGACGGGGGCGCCCAGGGAGGCGAGTCCTGGGGGGCCTGGGAGGCTGTGGGGCGAGGCGAGGTGTGCCGCTAGGTCAGGGCTGAGCCTGTGGGTGGAGCCGGGCGCCCACAGAAGGCTGGGGATGGATGAAGCCAAAAAATATGTATTTTACAAAAAGACGATCGTGGAACCGTAGGGCCTGCTGTTATCTCTGAATATTATATTTTTATGGAGCTCAGTTTTACTATTAGCACTTTTAGGGCAAATGTAAATAAACCTGATCGTGCAAAAAAAAAAAATTTTAAGATTGGGGGCGGGGCTGAGGGGCGGGCCTGGAACTGGAGGGGCGGGGCCGGGGCGAGAAGAATTGAAGGAACCGAGGTCCGCGAGTGGAAGGAACCGGGTTTGGGGGAGGAATTAGGAAAAGAGGGCGGAGCTGGCTTGGTCCGGGACGCGGTGAAAAGTGACCCCCTAAGTCCGCCCGTGGGGTACCCCTCACACCGTCCCCTCTCCTCCCCTGCAGGAAGCTACGTGGACTATTTCTCCGCGTCCCTGTACCAGTGAGTGTGTGTGCGGAGGGCGGGGGGCCCTGGGCTGCGGGTCCCGGGGGCTGATGGACGGGGAGCTCGGCAGCTCCCCGCGCCTGACCTCTGCTCCCCCCTGCAGGGCCCTGGCGGACCTGCTGGAGGCGCCCGAGCCCTAGCCGGCCCCGCGGCGGCGCGGACTCCCTCCCGGCCCCGACCCCCACGAGGCGTATTTATTTCTCCGAATAAACGTGACCCGCGAGCCCTCCTGGTCAGGCGTCTGTCTGGCTCCCCGGGGCGCCGCGGGATCGGGACCCGGGGCCCTGGGTCGGAGGGAGCAGCGCCTGTGCTGGGTCCGCGGGGCGCTGGATCGGGTGGTCGGTTGAACGTCCTGATGGATCAATAACTCAGTCCACACGGGCGCGTTTTGAAACAGTTCTCTTTACCCGTGATCGCTGAGTGGCGCCGGAGGCGGGGAGGCCGCCAGGGTCCGGGGCGCGGGCTCCCCGCGTCCTCCCCCGCCCCGCGCCCCACCGCCCAGCGCCCCGCGGAAAGAGGATGCTCCCATGCAAACCCCGGGGCCGAGGGCATGGGGAGCGCCCCCCGCGCCCCCGCACCCCAGCCCCGGGGCACGGACACGGCCACGGCACGGGGGGCGGGGGCCCCGGGGACACAGACACTGGGGAGAGGGGCCCCGCCCGCAGCTGGCCCCGGGCCGCCGGGCACCCAGGCGGCGGGCGGGACTGAGTGGCACTGGGCGGGGGCGAGGCTTGTAGCAGCGAGTCCCCTCCCCTCCGTTCGGACGGAGGAGGAGGACTGGGGCCCCGCGACCGGGGAGGACGGGGGGGGGGGGGGCCTCTCCTCGCATGCGGCCCCGGGAGGACAGCCCCGCCCCCTCCCGGGGGAACGGGCACCCGCCTCCCGTCGGAAACTGATCAATAAATTACAAAGTGGGGGCCGGGAGCTGGGGGTGTGGGGCGGGACTCTTCCCGCCCTCTCCGTCCCCCTCTCGGTCCAGTCCATGTGGTTCGGTCCGGGCCAGTCCATGTGGGGGGGACGCGCCCCCGCCGGCTGTGCGGATGGTCCGGTCCGCGGCGCAGCTCCGGGCGCGCTCCCAGCGGCGAGGCCGCCCGGGCGGAGGGGGCGGCCCGGCCTCTGGGAGGCGCTGCGTCCGGGCGAGGTCACCTTCCGCGAGGATCCACGGCGCCGCCCCGGACCCGGACCGCCCCGGGGTCCTCACCTGGCGGCCCGCACTAGCAGGAGTAGGTCCGCACCGACACGCCGTCCGCCCGGGAGTTCCCGGAGGGCGGGCCTGGGGGGAGAGCGGGCAGCCGGTCAGCGGGCTCGCGCACCCGCACCGGCACCCACACCCGCACCCGCACCAGCACCCGCACCGGCACCCACACCCGCACCCGCACCGGTACCCGCATCCACACTGGCACCCACACCCGCACCCACACCCACATCCGCACCCACATCCGCATCCACACCCGCACCCGCACTGGCACCCACACCCGCACCCGCACCGGTACCCGCATCCACACTGGCACCCACACCCGCACCCACACCCACATCCGCACCCACACCGGCACCCGCACCGGCACCCGCACCGGCACCCACACCCGCACCCGCACCGGTACCCGCATCCACACTGGCACCCACACCCGCACCCACATCCGCATCCACACCCACTCCCGCACTCACACCCGCACCCACACGCGCGCGCGCCCTGTCCTCCCCGGGTTTCTCCGATGTGATGGTGTGGTCCAATGAGCGGACCTTCCTCGGAATCCCCCTTCGGAAACGACAGACAGCCCGCATCCTGGCGGTTTCCCTCCCTTTCCCTCAGATTGGTCCCCGGTGCCCGGAGGACACAGGCGGGTTCATTCCCCGCTGGGGAGAGGGTGCGGGGTGAGCTCCTTCCCCGCCCGGAGGGAGCGGCCCGGCCACTCCAGAAGCGGGAGGGGGAGGAGGAGGAGGAGGGGGAGGGGGAGGAGGGGGGGAGGAGGAGGGGGAGGAGGAGGAGGAGGGGGAGGGGGAGGAGGAGGGGGAGAAGGGGGGGAGGGGGGGAGGAGGGGGAGGAGAGGAAGGAGGCCTCGGGATGCAGAGTTAGTTGGTCCTTTTCCCTCCCCCCGAAGCGGGGGGGGGGGGGGGACACCCACCTTCCGACTGCAGCTTGCGAAGGGGGAGCCCGGGCGAGCCCAGGGCCCCCGCCGCGGCCGAGCGGAAGTTGGGGGGCAGCATCTCCGCGGAGTCGGGGCTCACGCCTCGGAGGTCCTTCTCCCGGAACATCTTCCGCCAGGACGGCGAGCGGCTGAAGGACTTGGCGCTGTCCTGGGTACGGACGGCGTCCGGGTGGGACCGGGCCCGGCTGGCCCCGCCCCGACTCCGCCCCCTTCCTCGGGCCCCGCCCCTTCCCGTGTCTCTTCCCCCGGCCCCGCCTCCGGGCAGCCAAACCCCGCCCCGCCCGCCCTGAGGTGCCCGGAGCCCAGCCCCGGAGCGCGGCGCCCACCTCGTCCAGCCGCCGGTCCGTGCCCAGGGAGATGAGGTTACTGAACTCCTTTTCCAGGAGCTGCCGGGCCTGGGGGGAGAGGAGGCCGGGGTTGCAGGCTGCGGGGGGGGGGGCGGGGGGGCGCCCGGTGCGGGCCGGCCGGGGCCGCGCTCACCTGCGCGTTCTGCGTGGGGATCTGCAGGAGCAGGGCCAGGTCCGAGTAGTCGAAGGTCTCGTCCAGGGCCAGCAGCGCCCCGTGCACCCCGCTCTCCGTGAGGTTCGTGGCGAATTCCTTCAGCCCCAGGCCGGACACCCAGCCCATGACCCGCTCATTGGACCACACCATCACGTCTGGGACCACAGGGACCCTCGGCTCAGCGGCAGGCGCGTCCAGTGCAGCCTGGACCTCCATTCGCCCGCTTTCCTGGCCGTGGCTCCGCCCCGTGCTTTATGGCAGCGCCTTTCTCCTTTTCCAGCCCCGCCCCAAACCTCCCGCCTGGCCCCCACAGCGACTCACCCGCTCCTACTCACCCCGGATCTGGGTCTGACTCTCCTCCCGCCGCCGCTCCAGGTCTTTCCGGTCGTAGTTGAGCCGTTTCAGGCACATGATCCCGTAATGCAGGCTCACCCTGAGCGGCAGGGGAAGGGGCGTCACAGAGGAGCCTTCCTGCCCCGGGGGCTGCTGCTCCGTGGGGCCCTCCCCACCGCCTGGCCTTCCGGGAGAGGGCGGAGTTAGTCCATCGGGGCAGTTCCAGTGATTGCCGACCTCAAAGCTGGGTGCTGCCCTGACCGGTGTGGCTCAGTAGATAAGAGCGTCGGCCTGCGGACTGAGAGGTCCCAGGTTCGATTCCGGTCAAGGGCATGTACCTTGGTGGCGGGCGCATCCCCAGTGGGAGGTGTGCAGGAGGCAGCTGATGGATGTCTCTCTCTCATCGATGTTTCTGGCTCTCTATCCCTCTCCCTTCCTCTCTGTAAAAAGTCAATAAAATATATATTTATTTTTTAAAAGCTGGGGTGCTTTCTGCAGGCAGTTCTTATTTGCAAACCTGGAAGGGGTGTGGCCTCCACCAGCCGATTGGAACTTTTCCTAGCGGGCATCTTATTGACGGGAGGGGCAGGGGGTCGGTTTCCGGAGAATCTCCCCTCCCCCCCTCCCCCCGGCCCCACTGGCCCGGACGCTGCAGGATGGGCCCCGGGCCTGTGGGCGGCGCCCACCTGTGGAAGCTGTCCACCATCTTCAGCTGCCCGCGGAGCTCCTTCTTGTTGAGGTGGTCCAGCATGCGGGCGTCCACCAGCGACTCCATGAAGTAGCTGCGGTACTGGGGCAGCCCCAGGCTGGGCAGCCAGTCATTCCCCACCCACTCGTGGTTCATGTCGCCGTACGCCAGGATCTGGGCCGGGGCAGGCAGGGGAGGGTCAGGCCCTCGGACCCCTCCCTTCCCATGTCTGTATGCAGGGGTACAGCCTGACCCCCAACCCAAGGCCGTGCTTTTTCCACCCCTGACCCGTCAGCGGCGTCTCCCGCTCCCTCAGGATGACGGCACGGAGCCTATCTGCGCAGGGGTGGTCTGTGGGCCCGCAGCTCCCTATCGCCTGCGAATTGGCTGGGATTGCGGGGTCTCAGCCCCAGATACTGAATCAGAACCTGCATGCACCTCATAGGGCCCGCAGGGGGTGCGAACTGAACATTAAAGGTTGAGCAATGCCGAAACCAGTTTGGCTCAGTGGATAGAGCGTCGGTCTGCAGACTGAAAGGTCCCAGGTTCGATTCCGGTCAAGAGCATGGGCCTTGGTTGTGGGCACGTCCCCAGTGGGGGATGTGCAAGAGGCAACTGATCGATGCTTCTCTCTCATCGATGTTCCTCTCTCTCCCTCTCTCTTCCCCTCTGTGAAAAATCAATAAAATATATATATTTTTTTTAAAAACAATTCAGAATGGATCAGTCCAACCTCACTACTCTCAACAAAACGGATTCTTCCAGCATAGCTGGAAGTGGTGCATCCGTCACTCTGGCACTGTCCGGAATGTTCTGGATCAGCCCAAGGTCCTTCTCAGACTTTAGCGAGGAAAGGATCCATGCCTCCCGCCTGACCGGAGGCCGAGAGCCCGGCCACACAGCTCTGTCCGACAGGTGAGCGCATGCGCCCCCTTCCGGCGAGCACAGGGAGCTGCGCCTCCCCCAAAGCTTCCCCCTTTGCCTCCTTCCCCGCAGCCGGCGGGAAAGGGGTGCACAGTCTCCCTCTAATCACAGCAATAGAGCAAGCCCTGGGGTCCCCACAGCCCCCGGCAGTGGGATGGCCCCGCACCAAGCCAGCAGCTCACAATGGAACCCCGGGCTTCACACAGACCCCCCTCCCCTCACACGGCCCGGAGCCGGGCTCCCCGCCCCCGCGGTGACGGTGGACGTTCCAGCCGGGACGGGGCGGGCGGAGAGGAGAGGGGGTCCATGCAGCGTGCACAGCCTGCTCATGCGCCCGCTGCCCGCCCGCGCCCCCTACCTGCTCCCAGCTGATCTCCTTGGTCTCCTGACCCGTTAGTGGGAAGAGGGGAAAGAAGGGATGGGTTAAGGGGCAGGCGGAGGAGGGCGGGACGGACGGACAGACGGACAGACAGCCACGGACTCGCCCCGCCCCTCCCGAGAGAGAGTCGGTGCCACCCCCAAAGCCGCCGGCAGGGGGCACTCACGGGCTTCGTGGTGGCGGTGAGGGACTCCATCTCCTCATGGGTCATCCACACGTTCCCTGTGGACTGAGGGGCCAGGGTGTTAGGAAGGGGAGAGCGGACGCCCAGACAGGGAGAGGGAGGGGCCAGCTCCGGAGGTCAGGGCATGCACTATATACCCAGCCTGCTGTCTGGCTCAGAAAGGCCGTCACTGCTTGGACCAGCCAGTGCCAGAGAGAAGGAATGATCGTGGGGTTTTTTGTTGTTGTTGTTGTTCTTTAATATATTTTATTGATTTTTTACAGAGAGAGGAAGAGAGGGATAGAGAGTTGGAAACATCGATGAGAGAGAAACATCGATCCAGCTGCCTCTTGCACATCTCCTACTGGGGATGTGCCTGCAACCAAGGTACATGCCCTTGACAGAATCGAACCCGGGACCTTTCAGTCCGCAGGCCGACGCTCTATCCACTGAGCCACACCGGTTTTGGCGATCGTGGTTTTTTTGTTTGTTTTGTTGTGTTGTGTTGTGTTTTTTAAATATATCTTTATTGATTTTTTACAGAGAGGGAGGGAGAGGGATAGAAACATCGATGAGAGAGAAATAAACATCAGCTGCCTCCTGCACGCCCCACACTCGGGATGTGCCCACAACCAAGGTACATGCCCCTGACCGGAATCGAACCCAGGACCCCTCAGTCTGCAGGAGTTTACTGAGCACCTGCTGCGAATCAGAGCTTGTGCTTCGGGGCTGAACAGATTCAGGCTCCCATTGGGGGCTGCGGGGCATTTTGCCGGGCGGCCTGAGCCAATGGCATGCCCTCTCTTCACACAGGCACAGAAAGGATTCAGAAGTTCAGAGTGAGGGGGCAGCAACAGCAAAGGAGCGAATTCCCAGGGAAGCAAGACGTGTGTTCACATTTGTGGAACAGGAGTTAGGATTCACACACGGATTCAATCCTCTGTGCCCTGGCCAGTATGGCTTCGCTGGTTGGGCGTCTTCTTAGGCACCAAAAGGCTGCCGGTTGGTCAGGACACATGGGGGGGGGGGGGGGTATTGCAGCCTTGATCTCCGGTATGGGGCGTGCAGGAGTCAACCAATCATGTCTGGATCTCCCATGGATATTTCTCTCCCCCTCTCATTCTCTCTCCCTCTCCCTTCCTCCCTCTAAAAATCAATAAAAGATATATATATGCCGAAACCGGTTTGGCTCAGTGGACAGAGCGTCAGCCTGTGGACTGAAGGGTCCCAGGTTCGATTCTGGTCAAGGGCATGTACCTTGGTTACAGGCACATCCCCAGTAGTGTGTGTGCAGGAGGCAGCTGATTGATGTTTCTCTCTCATCAATGTTTCTTTTTTTTTCTTTCTTTTTTAAATATATTTTATTGTTTTTGTACAGAGAGGAAGGGAGAGAGCTAGAGAGCTAGAAACATCGATGAAAGAGAGTCATCTGCCTCTTGCACACCCCCCACTGAGGATATGCCAGCAACCAAGGTACATGCCCCTGACCGGAATCGAACCCGGGTCCCTTCAGTCCCCAAGCCAATGCTCTATCCATTGAGCCAAACCGGTTTCGGCTCATCGATGTTTCTAACTCTCTCTTTCTCTCTTCCTCTCTGTAAAAAATCAATAAAATATATTTTAAAATAAATATATGGAACGAGGCCTAAGTGCCAGACACGGTGGTAGAGTCTGGGATGTGCAGAAGGGGAGCTGAGTAGAGACTGAATAGGAGATGAAATTAGCAATAGCGGTCACGCTCTGAGGTGTGCCCGGGCATGGCGGCTATGTGGGGAAGCTCTTATTTCTCGGAGACGCCGCTGAAGTGATTTGGGAGCTAACGGGTTGTGATGTCCACACAGTACATCCCACTGCTTCAGACACACATACATGTCTGAACAGCCAGAGTGGCAAAGGGCTGACTGCTGAATGAGGCACCATACACATAACTGTCTGTGTGGAACGAAAGGGTAAAACATTAGGAGGCGTGAATGCTATGGAGGAAAATCAAGTCTTGCCCTGACCAGTTTGGCTCAGTGGATAGATACCGCATCAGCCTGTGGACTCAAGGGTCCCAGGTTCGGCCGAAACCGGTTTGGCTCAATGGATAGAGCATCGGCTTGGGGACTGAAGGGACCCGGGTTCGATTCTGGTCAAGGGCATGTACCTTGGTTGTGGGCATATCCCCAGTAGGGGGTGTGCAAGAGGCAGCTCATCAATGATTCTCTCTCATCATTGATGTTTTTTTCTCTCTCTCCCTGTCCCTTCCTCTCTGACATCAATAAAAATATATATTAAAAAAAAAAAAAGCTGGTGCCAAGGAGCAGAGTGAGGGAAGGAGGGGGCAATGGTCTTTCATCCAGGATCGTGGGGGGAACCGTATGGGTCTGTCTTATTCTCCAGGATGGGCCCCTCCGGCTGCAGTTGAAGACAGACTGGAGTTTAGGGGTACAGGGGAGGCAGGGAAGACCCCCACCCGCATAATCCAGGTGGCAGAAAGGGAGACTAGGTCTACCGGAAGGAGCTGGAATAGGCAGGCCTGGATTGGCTAGTCTGAAGGCGAGAGGCGGGGCCTCGGGGCAGCGAGCGCTGGGATTGGCCGCGGACGCTCACCGTGCGGGAGGAGGCGGGGGCGGAGGGCGAGGTGAGGGAGACCATCTCCTGGATGGCCAGGCGCAGCTTGAGCCGGTGCAGCGGGTTGCTGATGCCGATCTCCCGCTGGATCTCCGTGTCCGACAGGTTGGCCATGATGGCGCCGCTCTTGACATTGGCCCGGCAGGCGGCCACGTACCACGCGGGCATGCCTACCCACAGCTGGACCCGCCAAGCGGGGGTGACAGAGGCAGAGGGAGACAGACAATATAACGTAAGAGGAGAATCGGGAGAGATGGGGGAGAGACAGAAAGAAAGGGAGAGACAGAGACAGAGAGACGGGGAGAGGCAAGCGGGGGAAGGACAGAAAGACACATGGTTCACAGCGGGAAGAGACCAGGAGCAAGTCAAAGGGGCGTAAGTCAGAGGGAGACACAGGGAGACGAAGGAGGAGAGTCAGAGAAAGGCAGTGCCAGCATCAAGAGGGAAAGAGAGGGATGGAGAGGGACAGAGATCAGAGAGACACACAGAGATGAGAGACAGACGTGGAGAGAGAAAGCAGCAAAAGCATTGGGAGAGAGGCATGGGGGAGAAATATGGGCCACGACACAAACACAGAGATGAGGAGAGAAGCCGAAAAATAGACAGGGAATCCGAGAAAGAGAGAGAGAGAGAGAGAGAGAGAGAGAGAGGGAGAGAGAGAGAGAGGCAGAGGCAACAGGAGAAAGAGGCAGGGGTGGGGGAGAAGGAGAACAAACAGGAAGGAGATCACAGGAAGTCTGGCTCCTCCCAGGACCGCTCCCCCCTCACCCACCCCCACTTGTGGGCCCGGAGGCTGGGGCTGTCACAGGGGCTGAGGGTCAGGAATCAGGCATCTCTGGGCCGAGTACCTCCAGCCAGGAGACCACGGTGGGGCCATCCCAGGCGGCAAAGGGCAGGCCCTGGCGGCAGGCCTCCTCCAGCAGCTCATGCCTGGGGAGAGGGGCAGGGCAGGAAGCTCTCAGGGGCAGGGCCCCGGGCCCCCTCACCACCACCCCCTCTCCAAACACTCCTTATGATTGGAGCATCCCGACAGGAGGTCCGCGCAAAATGCGTGGGAACCTGTCAGTCCTCCGCCCTCCCTCGCCCACACTCACTTCCTCTTGTTTCTCCGGTCCTTGTCTCCCGGCCCCGCCAGCTTGGCTAGCCCCAGAGGGTCCGTGGCCAGCGTCTCATCGGAGGGAGTTCCAGCTGGAGGCAGGGAGGGGCCAACATTTGGAGAGACTCAGGGGGAAGCAGAATATTCCATGATGGTGCCCTAACCGGCTTGGCTCAGCGGATAGAGCGTCGGCCTAGGGACTCAAGGGTCCCAGGTTCGATTCCAGTCAAGGGCACATCCCCGGGAGGGAGTGTGCGAGAGGCAGCTGGTCGATGTTTCTCTCTCATCTATGTTTCAAACTATCCCTCTTCCTTCCCCTCTGGAAAAAAATCAATAAAATACATTTTTTTTTTAAAAAGAGTATTTCATGCTGGGGGTGGTGAGAAGAAAGCCAGGAGAGCAGAGGCCCCAAGGGAAGAGTAAATGAGGCCACAGAGAGGGCGTGATCAAGCCAGACAGGGAGCAGTGCCACCTCCCAGGCAGTAACTTGGGGATAAACCCGCGTTCATTGGCCTGGCCTGTCAGGGTGGCGGGGGTGTGTGGAAAGAGTTTAGCCTGATCCGTGAAGAGGAAGGAGATATTCCTTGATCTGCAGCGTGTGCCAATTTCTGCGGTGTAAAGAACCCCACGATGCCAGTTTCAAGCTACCAACGTGACGTCAAGCAGCTCCCCAAATGCCCGAAAATGTCACCACCGGCTCTCACAGCCAATACAAGGCTCCGCACCCCAGGTGCTCTGCCTTTAGGACGCTTCTCTATAAACGGTCAACGAAATAATATGACTTAGCCCTCCCGTCACTCGAGCAGGCCATGGAGGGCTCTTTCCCCCTCCCCCAAACCCTCCCCCCTTCCTCAGCCAAGTCCTGTCCCTTCCACATTGTATAATAAATGGATTACCAAATCATCGAGGACATGAATGAATGTCAAGTGATTATGTAAAGAAGAAGGAAGGAAGGAAGGAAGGAAGGAAGGAAGGAAGGAAGGAGGAGGGAGGGAGGAAAGAAGGAAGGAAGGAAGGAAGGAAGGAAGGAGGGAGGGAGGGAGGAAGGAAGGAGGGAGGGAGGGAGCGAGGGAGGGAGGGAAGGAAGGAGGGAGGGAGGGAGGGAGGAGGGAGGGAGGAAAGAAGGAAGGAGGAAAGGAAGGAGGGAAGGAGGGAGGGAGGGAGCGAGGGAGGGAGGGAAGGAAGGAGGGAGGGAGGGAGGAAGGAAGGAGGGGTGAACCAGGGTGCTCACCCAGAGAGGAGCTGTCCCGTCCTGGGGGTCCCATCCGCCCCTTCTCCTTCTTGCCGAAGAGGCGGCCGATGGAGGACTTGATGCTCTTCTTCTTGGGGGCCTTGTGCAGGGGGTCCTGGGCGCCCTCGCTGGGGGGTGGGACAGAGTGAGGGCAGGCCCACCTGGGAGGCGTGCTTTCACCCCAGTCTTCGCCTCTCCCATCCCATCCTCCCGGTCCCGTCCCGGTCCCGTCCCTGTCCCCGCTGACCTTCCCCGGGCGGGCCCCCCGTCCTCCAGAGACCCCGCCTGCAGCGACAAGGCCTGGGTCATCCTCTCCAGGCGGGCGGAGCGGGGAGTGGGAGGCGGAGTGTCTCCGGGGACGGCCGGCCCCTCTCCTCGCGGAGCCCCAGCTTCGTCCTTGGGGACATGATTCTGGGGACAGAGAAGCAGAGAGGCTGGGTTAAGTTGGGGTGGGTCATACTGGGGGTTCCTCATCAGTTGAAATATCTACTGGGGGATGTATGAGACATTCCCGGTTTGGGGTACTCTTTCTGAAGGTCAAGTGGGGTGAGACGCAGAGCCAAAGATTGCCGTCCCACTGGTCCCACTGAGCTAAACAGGCCCGTGTTTCTAGCTTATGGTGTCAGTAGTGGGATCTGTGGCCACTAGGCTACAGGCTCTGGATGCAGAAAAGCTTGGGTTTCAGGCAATAAAATTAAATTCATATCTGTTATGCATCCCCCAAAGGTAAATTATGATATGATGGTAGTTCTCAAATGTACGTTTAGTCACAGAAGTGATTTTTAAAAAATCACTTGCAGAAGCGGGTGAAGGTTGACCAGATGGTACCTAGAACCCAAGTTGGGGTTCAGGAGCCAGTGGCTCAGTCCTCCCTCTGCCCTTTGAGCTGGAGTTTTTAGGGAAGCGAAGGCTGCCTTTGGAATCCAGGGGTGTGAGGAGTCACTGTTGCTCTCTGTCGGGGAATCCTGTTTCTGACCTCCTACCCCTCCCCCAACCCCCAAGCTAAGGAGACTCCGGAACACTTACAGCTTTGTCGGTGCCCTCACGGGCAGGACTGGGGGGTGCCAGGCGGGGCGTTGAGTGTCCGGAGCTGGGAGGGGAAGGACTGGCGAGAGTGGAGGTGGTGAGGGAGGGGGGCAGTGAGCAGCTACTGCGGTAGCGGCCCAGCGAGTCCAGGCAAGAGCCAGATACCCGGCTCTCCAGTTCTTCTGCCCTTTGTTCTGTGGTCTCCTTCTCCTCTTGGATCAGCCTGAGGGAAAGGGGGAGATTGGTGAGAGGACTGAGGCAGACGATGGGAGAGGGAGTCTGAGGATCCTGATGAGCCAGAGAGCTTAGGGATGCGAAAATAATTCTGAAGAGGGCATCATGAGGTTTGAGGGTCTTCGTGGATTCATGATGTGAATCCAACAAGATTCAAGGGGAATCAGGGGTCCTGGTGGGCTCATGGGAGCGGATTACAGACAATGGTCAGGGTCTGCGTCATGGTGACCCTGATAACCAAGAGCTTCTGGGAAATCATAAAGGGATTTTTACGGGAACGAGATCAAGTTTCAAGGAGGACAAGAAGAGCAAATGCATAGTAAGAGCAAGATGAGATCTGGGAGTCAGAGGTCAACCTAGGAGCTGGGAAAGTCTTAGAATCATTTTGTGTATGAGAGCTGATTACTCAAGTCAGAACAAGTTTGAATGGAAGATGGTAGTCATGTTGGTATATTTGCTGGGCCCAGGAAGGGTGTATTATTAAGGAATTGCTAAATAAGGCAGTTACTGGGGAATTGGGGTGTATTTTATATAATGGGCGAGTCTTAATAAATTGAGAATTCTTGTTATATATTATCTGTTGGGTAGAAATTCTTGGTATGGAGAATTGCAGTTCTTGATGTGTTAGAGCACATGTGTCAAACACAAGGCCCGCGGGCCAAATCCGTCCCGCCAGGCCTTGCAATGTGGCCCGCACCGCGCTGTCATCACTGCACTCCGCTGCGTTTCCATCACAATGACAGTTTATAACTGTTCAGTAAACCATTCGGCCCGCGATTTAGGCTGGATTTTAGATTTTGGCCCCTTTTCTGATTGAGTTCGACACCCCTATGTTAGAGTGAGATTCTTGGTGTTTTGGGATGGGGTGCTTGAGTTGAGAATCTTGGGGTACCAGGACTCTCTGGGTACTGTTTAAGTGTAGCCATTAAATCCATGGTGTCCTGGAGCGCGGTCGGCAAACTCATTGGTCACCAGAGCCAAATATCAACAAGATGACGATTGAAATTTCTTTGGAGAGCCACATTTTTTAAACTTAAACTTCTTCTAATGCCACTTCTTCAAAATAGACTTGCCCAGGCCGTGGTGTTTTGTGGAAGAGCCGCACGTGGCTCGCGAGCTGCAGTTTGCCGACCACGGTCCTGGAGAGTTGTTGATGTACCGGATGGAGAATTTTGGTATTGGGGGTTTAGTCTTTGCTGTATTGGGAAAGTGTGAGTACTTGACTGAGGGATATATATATATATCATATATCATATATCATATATCATATATCATATATCATATATCATATATCATATATCATATATCATATATCACATATCACATATCATATATCATGTAGGAGACTTCTGGAGGGAGTGTCGCGCTGGGAAGATTTTTGAGGACAGTGAGGGAGGAGCGAGGATCAGACCACAGCGAGAGGGGCCGTGGGGTGAGCTCGGCAGAGCAGGGCTGCAGGACGAGCCGGTGCTCACTTGATCTCCTTGTTGATGGCTTCCAGCTGCTCCTGAAGCATGATGGCCAGCGTCTGCACGTCAGCCTGCCCGCTGGGGGAGAGCAGCTCGGCCCCAAACATCCCCTCCGCCTCCTCCTCGTCTGAGCCGTCCAGTTCCCCCGGAAACGGGGGTGGCATGGACCCCGCAGGGGCAGACCGCTCCCACTCCTGTCTGTGGAGGCAGAGGGGCCCGGGTGGGCGGGGACGAGATTGGCCCTGGGCTGTCCTTCCGCTCTCCTGCCCTGCCCCGCTCCGTGACCCTGCCCACGCCCCGACACGGACTGCCCTCACCCTTCTTCCAGCCCTGCTCTGTCTCTGACTATCCCAACCCTCTGATGACTCCCCTCCCTCCCCTGACTTCACCGTTGTCTTTGACTCAACTCACTCCTTCTCTGAACGCCACCCATTCTAGGATTCTGTACCCTGCACACCTTCCCCCGGAACCCATCCCCCTCCCCACCCCATCATGCCTCTAAGGTTCTCACCAGGCAGCAGGGTTTCCATGAGGAGACGTCCAGGCAGGCGGGAAGAGAGCATTGTGGGAGAAGGACAGGGGAGAGCTTGGGTCCCGGAGACCCTGCTTCCGCCCAGCCCCTCCAGAGCCCGTGTGACAGACCCCAGGGCCCACCGTTGCCCTCCCAGGCCCCGCTCCGTCCAGGCCCCGGAAGTGGCCGCTGACCTTGGAGGGCTCATCCTTGACCCCCGACCAGCGGCTCCTCTTGCCTGCTCGGCCACCGCCGGCCGCATAGGGGTCCAGGTGCGCACCAGAAGGCAGCGTAGGCGCCTGGGAATAACGGAGCTCCAGGGCACTGCCAGGGAGAGACCTGTGGGCAGAGAAGACAGTCAGAGCCCAGGCTGGCCTGGGTCAGCTGGCCCAGTGTTGTCCTGTGCCCCAACGGGTCATCGGTCCCATTCCAGTCGGGGCACATGCCCAGGTTTCAGATTCAATCGCCGGTATGGTGGCCTGCGTGAGGCAGCCGATTGATGTTTCTCTCTCTCTCATTCCCTTTTTCTTTAAAATGCAAGAAAAGCCCTGACTTATTTGGCTCAGCGGATAGAGCATCAGCCTGCGACTCAAGGGTCCCAGGTTCGATTCCGGTCAAGGACATATACCTTGGTTGAGGGCACATCCCCAGTAAGGAGTGTGCAGAAGGCAACTGATTGGTGTTTCTCTCTCATCCATGTTTCTGACTCTCTATCCCTCTCCCTTCCTCTCTGTAAAAAAAATAATAATAAATATTTAAAAATAAATAAATAAAACGCAAGAAAAACATATATTTTAAAAACATTAGCAAAACTGGTTTGGCTCAATGGATAGAGCATCGGCTTGGGGACTGAAAGGTCCCGGGTTCGATTCCGGTTAAGGGCACGTACTTTGGTTGCGGGCATATCCCCAGTAGGGGGTGTGCAAGAGGCAGCTGATTGATGACTCTTTCTCATAGATGTTTCTAACTCTCTATCTCTCTCTTCCTCTCTGTAAAAATCAATAAAATATATTTTTTTAAAAAAACATTAATAAAGAGGAAGACAGAGACTAAAGAGTCAAGAAAAGCTGATGCCCTGGCTGGTTTGGGTCAGCGGAAAGAGTGTCGGCCTGCGGACTGAAGGGTCTTGAGTTCGACTCCAGCCAAGGGTGCGTGCCCGGGGTGCAGTCTCCATCCCCTAGTGTGGTGCATGCGAAGGCAGCCAATCAATGATCCTCTCTCATCATTGACCTCTCTCTCTCGCCCCCTCTCTGAAATTAATAAAAATGAATTTTTTAGAAAATAAAAGCTGAGCCCTGGTCAGTGTGGCTCAGTTGGTTGGGCATTGTGCTGTGTACTGAAAGGTCACGGGCCTGATTCCTGCTCAGGGCACACGCCTGGGCAGGAGGCAGCCACTGATGCTTTGCTGTCACATCACATGGATGTTTCTCCCTCTCCCTTGCCCTCTCTCTAAAAATCTTAAACTTTTTAGAAAAAAAGAAAGAAAAGAAAGCTGAGGTAGGAAAGGGCCTTGGGTCAGGAGACGAAGAGAGGAATCTGAGGTGAAAGGTCGGGGAACAGGATCAGGTGTCAGTGGTCATGCAGTCAGGGGTCAACAATAAAAGACATCAGTGGAAGTCTCCGGGAGACGGGCAGTGAGCGGAAGGGGTGCGGGGGAGACCGAGGGGTCAGAAAGGATGAGCTTGGCCACGGGGCCGCGGGTGGCAGGGCCGGCGCGCTGCTGTCACCTGGAGTAGGAGGACGGCGGCCTCCCCCGCAGCTGGTCGATCTCCATCTGCATTCGCTCCATCTCGGCCAGGAGCTGCTCCTGTGGGCGGGGCGGAGGGGTCCGGTCCGATGTGCCCGGCACAGCCCCTCCCGGCGGCTCCCACCCCGCAGTGCCTGCCGCCGCCGCCGCCGCCGCTCTCCCGCCAGGCCCCTCCTACCTTGTTAAGCAGCAGCTCGTCCTGAAGTTTCTTCATGTTGGCAATCTCCTCGCTCAGTGAGTTCTGTGGGGACAGGGGCGCAGTGAGGGGGAGGGCTGAGAGGGACATGCGGGGGCCTGAGAGGAGCCCGGTGAATGAGTGTGCACGGATGGCGAGCTGGAGCACTGGGGTTTGGGTCCAAAGATGCAGCGGGGTAGGGGATCCCGTTCCTGGGAGCCCCGGAATTCCACGTCCTGAGTAATCAGAGGATTCAGTTTGAGGGTCCCCAGGATAAGAGTCTTGGGGAAAAGCCAAGAACTCAGGGTACGGGTGCCCCAGAATTCAGCTCTTGGGGGGTTAGGAGAAAGAGTGGTCCCTGCGATACAGCAGAGAGTCTTTTGGATTCAGGAGGCTTTAGGGAGAGCTCGGATAACGGGTCTGGGGGAAAGATCTGGGGCCCAGGATGCGGGGCTATCAGAGTGCCGGCTTGGGGTGCACCTTCTCCTCCAGCGCCCCCATCCGCTCCTTGAGGTGAAGCTGTAACCGCTCATTGGACTCGCTCAGCAGTTTGTCCACTGTCTCGGACAGCCGCTTATTGTGGTCATCGTTCATCTTCTCCCGCTGCCTGGCCTGCCCAGAGGGGACCACGGTGCTCAAGCCCACAGGGTCCAGAGCCGGGCCCCTGCCTGAGCTCCCGGGACCGCCTCCAGGCCCCGCCCCTCATACAGGCCCCGCCTCCAGGCTCCCCAGACCCCGCCCCGCCTCCAGCCCCGCCCTAGGCCCGCCCCTCCATGCCCCGCCCCGTCTCCAGGCTCTCCAGGTCCCGCCCCCGCCCCAGGCCCGCCCCTCGCCTTCGCCGCATTAACCCGTTCCCTCACCCGCTGCAGTTCTTGGTTCTTCTCCTCCAGCTGGGCCTCCAGCTGCCTGAGGCGCTCCTCGAAATTCCCGTGGCGCTCCTCAGCCTGGAGGATGGGGCCGTGACATCTGACTTTGCCCCCCTGGGACCCAGTCAGGCTCCAAGACAGGCACCAGGCCTGGCCCCCATCTCCATATGGGCCCCGTTCCTTCCTCAGTGCATGTTCCAGGCGCAGGCGTCCTCAAACTTTTTAAAGTGGGGGCCAGATCACGGTCCCTCAGAGAGCTGGAGGGCCGGACTATATGAACTACTAATTCCTACTGTAACACCTCGGCTGCGCTCACTGCCCAAAAAGCCTGGCGGGCCGGATCAGACTCCTCTGCGGGCCGCATGTGGCCCGCGGGCCGTAGTTTGAAAACCCCTGTGGGCATCCCTCCTTTCAGTCCAAACTAGAGAATCCTCCCCCCAGACCTCCGGACCCTGACCCCATTCCAAGTTTTATCCCTTCCCCAATCCCCAGGCCCCGAGTTCTCATCCAGAATCCAGGCCGCAGGTCTACCACCACTTCACCTCGCCAGGTCCGCCCCCTCCGGGCCCCGCTCCTCCTCCAGATGTCAGGCCCCGCCCCCTCCTCCAGCCGCCGGGCCCCGCCCCCCCTCCAGCCGCCGGGCCCCGCTCCTCCTCCAGATGTCAGGCCCCGCCCCCTCCTCCAGCCGCCGGGCCCCGCCCCCCCTCCAGCCGCCGGGCCCCGCCCCCTCCTCCAGCCGCCGGGCCCCGCCCCCTCCTCCAGCCGCCAGGCCCCGCCCCAGGCCCCTAACCTTGTTGAGGGCCGCCACGCGCTGGGCCAGCTGCGCCTCTATCTCCGGCAGGGTCTCGGCCTTCTGCAGCGTCTGCTGCAGCTTCTGCTTGGCGTCGTCCAGCCACTCTGCCAGCTGGCGGCTCTTCTCCTCGCTCTGGGGCGGGAGGGGCGGAGAGGGCGGAGCTGGGTCTCGCGGCCAGGACCTGGTCCCCAGCGCCCCTTCCCCTGCCCAGCCGGGCGCCGCACCTGCCTGTACAGCGACTCCTTGCTGGCCAGCTCGTTCTCCAGCTTGTCGTTGGCGTCGTGCAGAGACGTGGCCTCGCGCTGGGCGCTCAGATAGCGCTTCTCCAGCGTCGTGATCCGCTCCTCCATGTCCTCCCGCTGCGCCAAGGCCTGCAGAGGCGGCAAAGGACCCCGTGGACGACAGCTCCCCAAAGGCCCCGCGGGGAGCCTAGGCCTAGAACCCTAAACCAGGCACCCCAGGGCACCCTGGGAAATGAAATGCCCCGGCATCCGGGCGTCAGAATGCTGGAACCAAACCTGCCAGGAGCCCTCAGGAGTAGCCAACGTTAGGTCCCGGCCACTTGGAAGTGAAAATGGTGGCTCCACACTGTCTGAGAGCAGCACTGGCTTAGACCCTCCCCAGGTGACAGGCCTGAGGCTCAGGGGATGGGAAGTCTACTCCACTAGCCTCAAAAATCCAGGACTTGGCCCTGACTGGTGTGACTCAGTGGATAGAGCATCGGCCTACCGACTGAAAGGTCCCAGGTTCGATTCCGGTCAAGGGCATGTACCTTGGTTGCAGGCACATCCCCAGTAGGGGGTGTGCAGGAGGCAGCTGGTCGATGATTCTCTAGCATCAGTGTTTCTAACTCTATGTCCCTCTCTCTCTCTGTAAAAAATCAATAAAATATATATATATTTTTAAATCCAGAACTTAGCCCTAGCTCAGTGGATAGAGCTTTGGCCTGGGGACTAAAGGGTCCCGGGTTCTATTCTGATGAAGGGCACATGCCTAGGGTTGCTGGCTCGACCACCAGTAGGGGGCGTGCAGGAGGCAGCCAATCCATGATTCTCTCATTAATGTTTCTCTCTCTCTCTCTCTCTCTCTCTCTCTCTCTCTCTCTCTCTCTCTGTCTCTGTCTCTCTCTCTCTCTCTCACCCTCTCCCTTCCTCTCTGAAAGCAATAAAAATACATTAAAAAAAAAATCCAGGACTTAGAAGTTTCAGCAACTTGTGGCACAGCCGAGGCTTAAAGGCACAGAGCAAGTGCCCTAGGTCTCCTGGGAAGCAAAGGCCCCGTCCATCCTGGAGGCAGCATCTCCCAAGATCCCCCAGCGGAGCACAGACTGGAACCCCAGCAAACGCGCTCCGGGGTCTCTGGGAGACGGACCCGAGTCTGGGAGCCCTTGTGGTGGTAGATTTCCCATCAGGACCCAGGGCCGTGCAGGCTTAAAACGTGAGGCGAAGGCCCTCGTGGATGAGGAAACTAAAGTGCTCACTATTCATTCTCACCCAGGGCCTTCCTTCAAGAACCCACGCCTACATTTCCCAGCAGCCCCTGGGGCATGGGAGTTAGGATCCAGGAGCCTGAGCCCGGAATGGATGGAAATGCAGACCAAGGAATTCAACTTAGAGGCACAAGAGCGTTTGCCGACGATCACATCACTAGGAACAGTCACTGAGAGCCGCTGTGTATGTGCCACAGGCCAACCCTCTGAATAAGCTGTGAGTCCCATGTTACAGGCGAGGAAACTGGGGCTCAGACTGACTTCGCGTCCACCATTCCTGAGCTCAGTGACTCTGGGCGAAGGGACACGGGACAGGGTTATGGGGGGGACGAGGGGGTCAGAGGGCAACCCGCCGGCGGCTCCAGCCTCACCTCCTTGAGGTCGCGCTGGAGCTTGACGTTGGCTTCCTCGGCCTTACCCAGCTCGCGGTGGGAGGTGCCCAGCTCCTCCTCCAGCTGGCTCATCTGGCGGCACAGCACCGCCAGGCGCTCCCGCAGCTGGCACACCTCCGCTCGCTGCCGCTCCAGGGCCTCCTCCAGCTCAGCCGAGCGCCGGTTGGATTCGCCTCCGGGGCCCAGGCCATTGGCAAGGGTCTGCAGGGGGGACCGTGAGGAGGGAAGGCACAGGACCCAGAGTGGGGAAACGGAGACAGAAAGAAAATGCCAGGCGAGAACAAAGCTGAGGGGGTGGGTGAGTGGACAGAGTGAATCAAAGATCAGTAAGGGTGCCCCCTGCCCGTGTAGCTCAATGGCTGAGCATCGAACAATGAACCAGGAGGTCACGGTTTGACTCCCCATCAGGGCTCCAGTAGGGGGCGTGAGGAGGCAGCCAATCAATAATTCTCTCTTATCATTGATGATTCTATCTCCCTCCCTCTCCCGTCCTCTCTCTGAAATCAATAAAAATTTTAAAAATATATATAGTAAGGGTCACAGAGGTCACAGTAATTGGCTAGGTGACCTGAGTCAGGTCCTAGGAGCTCAGATGTCTCAGGATCAGTGAGGATCATATCAAACATTAAAAGGACCATCACAGCCTAGCTGGCGTGGCTCAGTGGGTGAGGAGGTCAGCGTTCAGTTCCCCATTAGGGCACATGCCTGGGTTGTAGGCTTGATCGCTAGTGTGGGGCATATAGGACGCAGCTGATCAATGATTCTCTCTCATCATTGATGTTTCTATCTCTCTCTTCCTCTTCCTTAATTCCTGAAATCAATAAAAAAAGATTTTTTTTTTAAGGGACCATTGCCAAAACTCATTTGGCTCAGTGGATAGAGCGTCCGCCTGCAGACTTAAAGGTCCAGGGTTTGATTCCGGTCAAGGGCATGTACCTCGGTTGCGGGCACGTTCCCAGTAGGGGGTGTGCAAGAGGCAGCTGATCGATGATTCTCTCTCATCGATGTTTCTCGCTCTCTAACCCTCTCTCTTCCTGTCTGTAAAAAAACAAACTGTATTTTAAAAAGGGACCATCACAAAGCCAGAGGAGAGGGGGGCGGTCAGAGGGATGAGGACCGATGAAGAGCAGAGGGAGTGAAGGACTTCACTCTTACCTGCCCGTCCCCGTCCTTGCCGGGCTCCTCCAGCCCGGATCGGCGCCTCGCCAGCTGATCTCGAAGGTTCAGAGTCTGGGAACGGGAAATCAGGGCAAAAGGAAGCTTAGTTCCAGCCGTCTAAGGAGAGGCCACAGGAGCCTCGGTCCCGCTGGGGCCACCCTTAGGCCCTGGGCTGTCATATCTCTCCTTAGCCTCCCAGAGGGAGGGGTGTGGCCTTCTCTGGTCCTCTCTACCCTGGCTCCCCCCATCCAAACATTCCCTCGGGCGTGGGCTCTTCCTGGTGGCCCAGCCCCTGGTTCTCGCCTTGGTCTCACTTTCACTAGGCAGTTCTCCTCTTAGCAACCCCACTGGTTCTCTCCATAGTCCAGCCCCGTTAGTCCTCTGCTCCAGTCCTGCCCCCAATGGATTCTGGAACCCAGAACCAGCCCACCCCACGGGAGCGCCCGAGCCCCGCCCTCCCCCCTCGGCCTCACCTCCTGGTTGCTCATCTCCAGCTCCTCTTCTAGGACAGCCACCCGCTCCAGCGCCATCCGCAGCCGCTCCCGGACCTGGGGGCGGGCGGGACGGCAGTGAGATGGAGATCAGATCCATCCGCTCGAGGGCAGTTGACCCCGGTGAAGAGCGCCCTGGAACGGGGCCTCAGAGGGAAGGTTAGAATTCCTCTATCCATAATGGATGTGCGGCCCCAACCTGCCACCAAAGCAGCCCGGCTGCAGGCAGCCCGCCCTCGTCCGCTTTCCATCATCAACCAGGAGGGCAGTCTGCATAGCCAGGCGATCAGAGCCAACTCCCCCCACCCCGCCAGCCCCCCTTTAGGACATCCCCAACCAACCACAGCCGGAACCTCTCCAGCCAGCTGCCGGTTCCCCTTCCAGAGCCAGGCTCCTCCGCGCTCCTACCTTCTCGTCCAGGGCCTTGTGGTGCTCGAAGAGGGACTTGAGAGCCTTGAGCACCTCCACCTCAGAGGAGACCCCGCCCGGGGACTGGGCCTGGCGCTTCACCACGGTCATGCGCAGTGACCGCTCGTGTCTGGACACCAGGCACTCCAGGTGTTCCAGCAGCAGCTGAGGGACAGGACACCGGGTCAAAGGGGCAAGGAAAAGCCCTCACGGGGTTGGCTCAGCAGATAGAGCATCGGCCTGCGGACTCAACGGTCCCAGGTTCGATTTTCTGGTCAAGGGCATGTACGCCGGTAGCTGGCACATCCCCAGTAGGGGTTTGCAGGAGGCAGCTGATCTATGTTTCTCTCTCATCGATGTTTTTAACTCTCTGTCCCTCTCTGTAAAAAAAAAAAAAATCAATAAAATATATATATATTTTTTTAAAGAGGCAAGGAAAGCCAAAACCGGTTTGGCTCAGCGGTAGAGCATCCGTCTGCGGACTGAAAGGTCCCAGGTTCGATTCTGGTCAAGGGCATGTACATTGGTTCAGGCACATCCCCAGTAGGGGGTGTGCAAGAGGCAGCTGGTCGATGTTTCTCTCTCATCGACGTTTCTAACTCTCTCTCCCTCTCCCTTCCTCTCTGTAAGAAAAATCAATAAAATATATTTAAAAATAAAATAAAATAAATGTCTAAAAAAGAGGCAAGGAAAGAGAGGAAGGGTAGACAGGAAATGTGGTTCAGACAGGTGGGTTGGACACATGGGGAGAGAGGCGAGGCCGCCAAGCAAAAGGTAAGGGAATGAGACAGGGATATCCGAGGTCGGGGGCAGCATCCGGAAAGAGTGGCACAGAAGTAAAGACGTTGTGGAGAGGGGGAGAGACGGGAAGGAAGGCAGGGACCGAGGACACCAGCCGAGAAGCGGGAGCAGGGAGAGACAGGACCCAGGTGGTCGGACGGCGGCACCGCGAGGCCCTCCGCCTGCACCGCTTGGCAAGGCGCTCGCTCACCCGCGTGTTGTTCCGTTCGGCCTTCAGCTCCGCGATCTCTTCTTCCCGCTCCAGCAGCTGCTCTCGACACAAGTTCAGCTCCTTCGTCAGCGCCGCGAACTCCTGTCCAGATGTGGGCAAGATCGGGAAAATCAGCCCTAACTGATCTGGCTCAGTGGATAGAGCGTCGGTCGGGGGACTGAAGGGTCCCAGGTTCGATTCCGGTCAAGGGCATGTATTGTACGTTGGTTGCGGGCACATCCCCAGTGAGGGGTACGCAGGAGGCAGCTGATGGATGTATGTCTCTCTCTCTCTCATCGATGTTTCTAACTTTCTATCCCTCTCCCTTCCTCTCTGTGGAAAATCAATAAAATATATTTTTTTAAAAGAAAAAGAAATGAGAAAAATTGATAATTATAAAGCCAAAAAAAAACAAAACTGGGCTTTAAAAAAAAAAAGAAAGAAAAGAAAAGAAAAGAAAAGAAAAGAAAAGAAAGAAAAGAAAAGAAAAGAAAAGAAAAGAAAAGAAAAAAAAGATCGGGACAATCAGATCGGTCCTTCACCGCCTCCCTCACTGAACTGAACGGTTGGAAAGCCCCGCCCACTAGAAGCCACGCCCATTTCGACAGCTCAGGCCCCGCCCCTCGTCGCCAGAGCCCGCCTTGGCCCCGCCCTTCCCAGCCCAGGCCCCGCCCCTCCGTGCGCCCCGCCCCCGCCGCGCGAGGCCCCGCCCCGGCCCCGCCCAGACCTGGGGCAGCGCGATGCTGAGCTGGCGCTGCAGGGAGTCCTTCTCGTGGCCCAGCTCGCGCAGCCGCAGCTGCGCCGTCGCCAGCCCGTCCTGCGCCTCGCGCAGCGTCTCCAGCAGGCGCTCGCGCTCCGTGAGCATCGTGACCATGAGGCGCTCCAGCTCGCCGCCCGCCTCGTCCGGGCCCAGCGCCGAGCCCCGCCGGCCATCCTCGCTGATGGTGGGCATCACCTCGCACATCATGGCGGCGGTGCTGGCCTGCGGGGGCGGGGGGGGGGTGGTTGGGGGGGGGGGGGAGCGAAGGGGGCAAGGGAATAGAGACCGGCCTCGTCAAGGCGCAGGCAGGGAAACAGACATGGCCACCCTGCTCATGCATCGAGGAAACTGAGGCAGAGCCACCCGGGCACTGCACCGGAAAAACACATCTGTTCATTCTGATCGTGGCGCGTAGGATAAACTGAAACCCACTGCTCTGTGGCTACCCGGGTGAGAGCACTTGGGGAAACTGAGGCCAGTCTCCATCAGGCACCGACAGCAAATCTGGGCCCAGCCTCGTCCACCACAACGAAGCCAGGTGACGCAGGTACTGCCTGAGTGAATGTGGAAAAGCCAGCAGCCTCTACCTGTTTGGGCCATGCTAACAACCCCCCTCAACCCGCCACAGGAGTGACAAAACTGAGTCCCCGCCAGACCATGATTAGGCCACTGGTACCTCATTAGCTGCTACTCAGCTCAATCCCCCTCTTCTTCAGTTTCTCACCTGGGCCTCAACTCCAGAAGATTCTAAAGACCCACTCCACTTGGAGAGGGGGAGCATAGAGGAGGGCGGGGTGGGCTAGCCATCTCCCCCAGCCCAGGTGGCCAAGACCCAGCTCCCTCCTTCATCAGGTCCGGGGGTTCCTGCCCCAAGACTCAGGAGTCTGAGCCTCTGATCCCGGGAGCCCGAGATGAGACCCTCTCTCCTCTGCCTGGGCGTGAGGCCTCCAACCTCAGACTCAGAAATCCCAGCCCTCAGACTCCCGCTCCCCCAGAACCCAACAGGCCAGGACCCCAGGCCCCGGGGGCTGGGGTGCCCAGGCTGTGGGCGGAGATGAATGGCTTTCTCCGGGGCCGCTCCCTTGCACACATCAGGTCCGACAGGTCCGGCTGGCCCGGCCGAAAGCAGGAGGGACTTTCATTGGCTTCCCCCCTTTCCCTCTCTCCCATCCGGCAGTGGCATAACCGGTTCTCGGGGTAGATAATTCCCAGCGCCACCCAATTTTCAGACTGTGTCTGGAGCCTGGGACTGGGCTTTGGACTCGTGAGAGGAGAGAAGGGAACGGAGAGCCCATGGGGCCTGGGAGAGCAGGCAGCTGGGTCCCTTGAGTCTCTCAACAGGTACATCTGAGGATCTAGACACCTGCATCCCAGCACTCAGAGGCCAAGTTCAGGAATATGTCCTTAGGCCCCAAACCAACATGGTATCTAAAACCCAGAACCTGGTCAGGGCATGCGACACCAGATGCTTTAAAAAGGAAGCTGTTCTAGAACTTCCAGTTCACTGAGAAGGAAACACAACACAGCAACGCCGGCAGAGATCTGGAAAGCCACCAGCACTCGGAGACAGCACAGAGTGCAGAACAAACCCATCCCCCCGCCTTTCCAACGGGAGTTGGGGAAGAGCTGCAGTTGGGGCGGATTCTGAAACTTTGAACCAGCCAAAGCCATCCATCACTTAAAACGCAACGGGGTGTCCTCAGAATGATATCTAAGAATATGCCTAATGCAATGCCCAACAAACCGAGTCAGGAGAGAGAACCGAGAACGCAAAATCTACCGGGGATGAGGGTAGAACGGGGTTCGCAGCCTTGGTTTCATCCTGTGTCTAGCTACTGCTAGAACACAGAATGAAAATGGGATGCTCTAGAGCAGCGTTTTTCAACCGCTGTTCCGCGGCACACTTTGCCGCGAGATGTTGCCTGGTGTGCCGTAGGTGCAGACAAGACAAGAATTTTATAATTTTTCACTATTTTGTTTACTTAATATTTCATAATAAAGTAATTATAAAATACTTTCTTTGTGTTTATTTGATTCCTATTCAAGAGAATTACTTTATATATAGTCAATATAGGCACAGAGTTAAATTTTTTAACATTTTCTAATGGTGGTGTGCCTCGTGATTTTTTTCATGAAACAAGTGTGCCTTTGCCCAAAAAAGGTTGAAAAACACTGCTCTAGAGTTCAGAATATGCCCTCGAGGTGAAGAAAAACCTAGACAGTAAGCAAGGAGCTTGTCTGAAACGTAGTGGTGCCCGGGGGAAGGTGTAGACGGGTGCATGCCTGGAATCGAGAATTCTCTGGCATAAGGCCTGAGCTGGCAAAGGAGAGGGAGGGAGCTCTGGGAATGAGGACGCTTCTAAGTGAAGACTCCAGAAGAAGGGAGAGGCCCAGAGCATGCTTAGAATGCTGGTGTGGCAGAAAGAGGAGGAAGCCCACAATCCACCAGGGGGGCAAGTTCCGAGCCAACCTCACACTAAGGAGAAGGGGGGCAGAGAAGGATGGGCCTAGAACCTAGAACCTGAGAAGGAAGAGGTGAGGGAGAACACTTCCGTGAGAGTCCTCTAGATTGTAGACTGTAGAACTGGATGGACCCTGAAGCAGGAAATACATTCTAGAGCTGATGGCACAGTTAAAGGACTAGGGCACAAGCCCTGGCTGGTCTGGCTGAGTGGATAGAGCATCGGTCTCGGGACTGAAGGGTCCCAGGTTCGATTCCTGGTCCCAAGTCACATGTCTGAGTTGCAAGCTCAGTCCCCAGTGGGGGGGGAGGCGTGCAGGAGGCAGCCAATCAGTGAGATCAGTGGTGATTCTCTCTCATCACTGCTCTCTCTCTCTCCCTCTCTCTCTCTCTCTCTCTCTCTCTCTCTCTCTCTCTCTCTCTCTCTCTCTTCCTTTCTTAAATAAGTAAGTAAATAAATAAATAAAAGACTAGAGCACATAATTGGAAGACACACATTCTTCTAGAACTTAGAATGGAATGCAGGACAATGCCAAGGATGTGGCTGGAGCCTAGAACACACCCAACATGAAATTTTAACAGTCTAAGTGAGGACTGGATCCTGTCCCGAGAGGGAGTGGGGTCAGAATTTGGCTTTCGGGGGTTATTTAGACATTTGACTTCATCTGGGAGAAGACATGCCTAGAATGTAGCATCCAGCCTGGAACTGAGCACCCGCCTTGGGTGGCGATGGAACAGAGGTGCTGACGGGAATGTTCCAGGGTCTAGAAAGAGTCTGGAATGCGGACTGTCGCAAGGGCAGTGTTTAACTGGAAATTCGGAAGACAGTGCGTAGGTTCTAGGTCATCGGATGAGCCTAGGCCACAGGACACATCTGGAGGAAGGGATGTACGTTTGGCTCACAGTCTGAGAGAGTGCGTTGGGAGACCCTGGGCCTCGGAAGGCAATGGGCTGCCAGAAATATCTCAAGAAGCCGGGTCCCAGGGGAGAGAATAGAGTCCTGGGCAGCCCAGGAGTCTGAGATGAAATGGGGATGAGGCAGGAGTCTGCCAGGGCCGCTGGGAGGTGATAGGGGGACGGTGAGACCATGGGGACCTGGGTCCCTCAGAGGAAGAGATGAGGAGCTAGAACCTGGGCAGGAAGAGAGCAGATCCGGGGACCTGGACTTCTGAATCCTCGTGGAGGGAGGTAAAGGACAGGGGTTTGGGGGGAGGGCTGAGGCAGGCTGGTGACCAGTACAGAAGCTGGGATCTGAACGCCTGGGTCCCTGAGGGGGTGCAGGGCTGGGGACAAGGCATCTCGTCTCCAGGGGCGGGTGTGGGGTATGGGGAGGCAGATGCCAAAGTATGGCATTAACAGTTGCATTCGGAGTCCCCAGAAGGGAGAGTCATGGCACCCGAATCCCCAAGGGGGCAGATGCGGGGGTCCTAGGAGGCCGGGATATATTTGCCTGAGGAGCGCAGGGGCCGTTGAACTGGGTGTCTCAGGGACAAAGGCTGGGAACCCGGGTCCCCGGATGCCCATTGCCCTAAGGGAGCTAGGGCAGAAACCTTCCGAAGCCTTGACTCCTGAAGAAGGTGCTGGGGTCCCGGAAATCTAGGGTGCTGAGGCCCGGGCCCAGCGCCTGGCCAGCGGAACCCCGAGTCCCGGGCATCCAGGGTCGGGGAGGGCCCGGGTATCCCCGGGTCAAAGGCGCGGCAGGGGGGATCCCCGCGCCGCCGGCGCCCCCTTTCTGGCGGTGGCAGCAGGAGGTGGGGGAGGCGAGGCTGCCGAGCGCGCTGACCGACCATGGACAGCTCCGGCGCGGGCCTGTGTCCAGGGCGGCCGCGGGGCGGCCTGGACGGAGGGACGCGGCCGGCCGGCGGCTGGAACCCAGGAGCTGGAGACGGGCAGACGGGGGCGCGAAGGGAGCGCTCTGCGGCCGCGGCGGGGACGGGCGGCCCCCGCCGGGGGAGGGGGACACAGCCGCGGCGGGGGTCCGGGGCTCTCCGGTCTGGGCCGAGGAGGAGGAGGAGGATCTAGACCCAGAGGGGTTCCCGGGTGGAACCGGAATCCAGGCTCCTGGGCCCCGGAGGAGGCGCGAGGCGGCAGGATGCCCGGGAGTCTGGGGCTCGGCTGGGGACTCTGGGAGCCGGGAGGGGCGCACTGACTCTCCGGGGCCGGGCTGTGAATCTGGGCGCCGGGGTCCCCGGGGATGGAGAAGGGAATCCGGGACCTCGCAGAGGCGGGGAAAGCCGGGCGAGGGGTCCCCTGGGTGGGCGCTGCCTGGCAGGCCGGGCTCTCACCTACCTGGTCCGCGGCGGCTGCGGGCGGAGCTGGGCTGCAGGAGGGAGCTGGGGTGGGGTGGGGGGGCCGGGCGGGGCCCCTGGCGGCGGCCGGGGCCCGGATCTGTAGCTCTGGAACCCTGTCTCCGCCGCTCGCGCGGGCTCCGCGTCTCTCGCTCCGGCTTGGGCGCTGGGGACCCCACTCCCTCGCACAGTCTCACAGCCCTTCACCCCTAAAACAGTCCCCCTAACCCTGTCACCGTGCAGCCTCCCCCCCACGAGGCCGCAGCCGCCAGATTCAGGGGTGCCCACCAGCGCCCCCCAAAATCCCACCTTCCCCCCCCAAAATTCCCTCTTCCCTCCCCCCCAACAGCTCCCGGGCGGTCGTGGCCCCTTTAACAGGAGACTGACAGACGGCTCCGAGTGGCCAATGGGAAGCAGCATCGGCGCCGGCAGGAGGCTAAACCCCGCCCCCGCACGGGCCGGGAGGGGCCGCGCGGGCGGAGAGCGGGAGGCGGGGCTCCAGGCATGCCAGCCAATGGGCGCGCGGCGTGCGGCAGCTGGGGCGGGGGGCGGGGCCCGGCAGGGGGATGATGTCACCCGGAGCGAGTGGCGTGCGGCGTGGAACGCGAGTCGCGACCCCGGATCCCGGCGGCGGCGGCGGCGGCGGTGGCGGCGGCGGCGGCGGCGGCGGCGGCGCGCGCCGGCCCTCGCGCCGCACGAGACCGGAGGGGTGGGCGGGCGGCGGGGCGGGAGGAAAGGTTGTGTTTTAAGGCGGGGGGGGGGGGGACTCCCGGGGACGCGTTTGGGCTTCAGGGCGGGGTGAACGCCGGGTGGCGGGTGCACCTGACTGTGCAATCCCAGCGCCCGCCGCGCCCGCCTCGGGAGCGGCACGCGGCACCCCCATCCGCCTCCCACGCTGGGCTCCCCCGCGGACAACGGTAATGGTTCGCCCCGCCCCGCCCACACGGAGGACACCCACTGGCTCCCCGCGGCGTTTCGGCACTCGTGGGGAGGACCAGCTGCAGAGGGGTTTGGCCTGCATCCTCAGTCTCTCCTAAGTGGGGTGAGGGGCGTTGTCTTCACGTCTGAGCTCCCCCTCAGACCCAGTCTGGGTCCCAGCCTCCACCCTGGACTGGTCCCTTCGGAAGCTGTCCAGCTTCTACCTTCAGACCTGGAGGGCGTGGGGGGGACATTCTGTACCTCGGCTTCCTCAGGGCCTGGTCTCAGCATCAGCTTCTTTCCCTCCCCCACCTCTCCAGACCCTCTGTGACCCCGCGATGCAGGACAGACACACAAACACTCAATGAGGGCAAAGATCTTTAAATAAGGAGCCGGTGACAATAAATACTGTACAGGGGGAGGTGGCGGGGGGGGGGGGAGAGCGGGAGGGTCCAGATCTGTGGTTTCAGCCTCAGGACTCCAAGGACCTGCAAGGAGGGCGAAGAGAAGGGAGCCAGGCTCAGGGTCAGGGGGCCAGGGGAGGGATGGGTCAGAGCCGGGGCTGGGTTTCCAGAGCCAGGGCTGAGGGAAATGGGTGAGGAATTCCAGGGAGAGGAGGAGGTCCAGGCCTTGGGATGGGCGTCAGCTAAGAGTCCCCCGGGGTGTCAGCCAGAATGGCTTGGGGTGAGAGTCTGAGTCAGGGTCAGAGTCCCAGGAGGGAACCCATGGCTGGGGTGTGGCAACCAAGACGTCAGGAACCACCGGGAGCCCGGGGATGAGGGCGGCCGTGGAGGCAGACCCGGGGAGCTGCGGCAGAGGGCTCACGAGTAGCTCTGGTGCTGCTGGCGCCGGCGGGCGGAGCGCATCTTCTCGAAGCGGGCCTCCATCTCCTCCAGCACGCGGGGCGTGTAGCGCACCACCAGCTTCACCGAGCCCTGGGCCGCCTTCAGCAGCTCCACCGCCTTCTCGTGCTGCTCGCCCTCCACGCTCTGCGGAAAGCGCACGGACAGCTGGGCGTGGGGCCCCCCGACGCTCGCCCAACCCCCCACCCCGAAACAGGTCCCTGAGGGGCCCAGACCTCATTGCTTCGTGGGAGAGTCATTCACTCTTGGCTCCGTGTCCTCCCCCAACATTTTCCAGGTTCCTCGTGTCAGGGACAAGCCCCATGGGCCCTCAGTCACCAAGCCAGACCTCCAGGGCCATCTTTATCCCCTCCCTCCCCACGGACCCGCTAGCAGAGCATCTGTCTGCGGACTGAAAGGTCCCGGGTTCGATTCCGGTCAGGGGCATGTACCTTGGTTGCGGGCACATCCCAGTAGTGGGTGTGCAGGAGGCAGCTGATTGATGATTGTCTCTCATGGATGTTTCTAACTCTCTATCCCTCTCCCTTCCTCTCTGTAAAAAAATCAATTAAAAAATATATATATTTTTTAAAACAAGGACAGACTTTGACCCTAGCCCTGCCCCAGCCTCCCACTCACCACACCATTCACCGACAACAGCTGGTCCCCACGCTTGAGGCCTCCGTGGCGGTCGGCCACGCCCCCAGGGATGACGCGGGAGATGTAGATGGGCGAGTTCTGCTCCTTGCCCCCCATGATGTTGAAGCCCAGGCCCTCCTCCGTCTTGGGCAGCTCCACCACCCTGGGGTGCGCATGGCCCTCGCTGGCGGTGAAGGCAGCCACGGTGGCCTGGGAGACGGGAAGCAGGGGGAGGTGAGGGCCCCTCCATGGGGGACAGGCGGACTAGGGTGGAGGATCTGGGCCAGGGAGAGCGACTGAGGCCAGATAGCTTTTCCCCAGCTCGAGGTGCCTGCCGGCCACAGTTCAAAAGATCATTTCATAATGACCGCATGTCCCTGTTGGCTCACTTTGACGGTTCAGACCTGTCAAAGAGAAGGTCTCCATTTGGTGCGAATGTGTCTTGAATACTCAACACTTGCCAATCTCACCTTTTAACAGAGAAAAACGAGGCCTGGAAGAAGCCGAGAGCTCCAGGGAGCAGCAAGAACGGCATCTAACTCCGATTTCATCAGATCTCAGTGTTTATGATATTTCATTGTTTTCACTGGGTCGATGTTTAAGGTTACCTTCTAGTCAGGCATTCGGTACTAGTTTCACTAATTGTAGTAGATAAAGATGCCCTTCATGACATTTATGAGAGATCACTGAAAATAAACTATAATAAGTAATCGTAAGGGTGGTACAGAGGTTTGGCAAATACCATGAAGGAGAAACCAGGAATGAATGACAGGAGGAAGTTCCGTGATGCTGGAGGGCGCCTACCTTGGCTGTGGCGTGGGCCCGGATCTCGGCGCTGCCGGTGATGTCCAGCGTGTCATAGAGCTGCTCGTACACCTGTGAGGATGCACAGCATTGGGGACCTGCCGGCTCCCTCCTCTCCCCAGCGCTGGAGTCCGGGCCCGGCCTCCCACCCATGAACTGTCCCAGCCCACACCTGGAGCGGGAGAAAACTACAACTCCCAATCCACCCTGGGAGCTGACGCACGCGCACTCATGAGGCGTGCCGCCCCGGGCGTTGCTGGGAGATGTAGTCCCCGGCCTCGGGGCGACCAGGAAGAGCATTGCCAGCCGCCGCCCACTCGTGGCCGGCGCCGCGCGGCGCTCACCTCGCGGATGGCGGAGCAGAAGCGGCTCTGCAGGACGCGCTGGAGGGCCTGCAGCTTCTGCGGGGGCAGCTCCCCGCTGCGCTGCAGCCGCTCGAGGAGCTCCACCGCCCGGGACACGTCTGCGGGGCGGGGGCGGGCGCGGAGACAGAGTCAGAGACACCGACGCGCAGAGAGAAGTCCCGGGAGATGCGGTCGGAGACCGAGGACGGGGCAGCGCGGACGGACCCGGGAAGGGCAGCGGGGTCCCGATCGGACGCCCACAGGGTCGCCAGCGGCAAGGGCGCCCTTCGTCCCCGGGGCCCCCATGCACACCCAGGAGGGGGTGCAGCGGGCGCCCCTCCCCGCCCGCTCGCCCACGGACCCTCCCACACCCACTAACCGCCCCGCCCCGCCCACCCTCGCCCGGCCCTGGCCGGGGGAGGGGCGAGGGCGGGGGTCCCGGACGCGGGCCACGGCCGGGTGGGCAGGGCCCCCCTGGCGCGCTTACCCCGCTCCAGCCCCAGCGGCTCCACCAGCGCAGCCATGTCGGCGCCGCTGCGGCGAGCCGCCCGCCCGGTCGCCAGCGGGGAGGGCGGGGCTTCCGGAGGCCACGCCCCCGGCGACGGGCGCCCCCTGCGGAGGCGCGGCCCTGCTTGCTCCCGCCCCTGTCTGCCTGTCCCTAGTGCAGCCTGTCTGCACCCCGGGACATCATCTCTGTCTGTCCTGCCCCCACACGTGTCCCCTCTCTGTCCCTTTTCCCCACGTATTGGGCAAACGTGTGTGAAACATCTGGGCCCAGGATGATGGACAGGATGGTGAGCAGGCCAGACAAGCCCACTGCCTTCACGAAGCTCAGGCGAGGACGAAGAGGTAGACGACCAGCTGTGACCGAGATCAGAATTGGGTGTGGGGAAGGGATGACCTAAGAGGGACATGAATAGAGACCTTGGAGATAAGAGAATCCAGAGGAGGGATGGGGTCCCTCTCCAGGCAGAAGGACCCCATGCAATCATTGCAGTTCGTGATGGTGACAATGTGGGCAGGATGGTTATACATGTTGAGGATTTTGAACTCAATAACTCTGAAGAATGAAATGTGGGATTCAGGTGTGTACTGGAAGATCACTGTGGCCAATGTGGTGACTGGATTAGGAGACCAGTCAGAAGGCTTTCCAAATATCCCTTTAGGTGGGTCGATTTGAAAATGTCTGGACAATGTCCCTCTTCCTGTCCTCGTATACTGAGTCACTGTATATGGAGACAGGAAGATGGAGGAGGAGATAGAAAGGTATTTGTGGGGCCCTAGCCAGTTTGGCTCAGTGGATAGAGCATCAGCCTGCGAACTGAAAGGTCCGGGTTCGATTCCGGTCAAGGGCATGTACCTTGGTTGCGGGCACATCCCCAGTGGAGGGTATGCAGGAGGCAGCTGGTCGATGTTTCTCTCTCATCCATGTTTCTAACTCTCTATCCCTCTCCCTTCCTCTCTGTGAAAAATCAATAGCCTAAACCAGTTTGGCTCAATGGATAGAGTGTCGGCTTGGGGACTGAAAGGTCCCGGGTTCAATTCTGGTCAAGGGCATGTACCTTGGTTGCGGGCATATCCCCAGTAAGGGGTGTGCAAGAGGCAGCTGATCGATGACTCATCAATATTTCTAACTATCTCTCCCTCTCTGTGAAAAATCAATAAAATATATCTTTGGGGGTAAAAAAAAAAAAAAAAAAAAAGAGGGTGGGCAGTTGTATGAGATGCTGTAGACCAGGGCCAAAGGACTGTGGGAAGGATTGAAGTGTGGCTGTACCTCACCTCTGGCTGGATGGGAGTACAGGGTCCACAAAGAGCTTTTGCAAAGTCAGAGAAAGTTTGCAAGTTTGTCTACACGTCTCTCCTTCATAGTGTCTCTTTTTCTATTTTAATAAGTAATCTACTTGAATTTAAAAACAAAATCAAGTTACCAAAGAACCTATATGCATATATGTATAGCCCATGGACACAGACAAAAGGTGAAGGTCTGGGGTGGGCGGGGACATGGGGAGAAAATAGGGGACATCTGTAATACTGTCAACAATGAAAAATAAACTTAAAAAATAAATAATACAGAAGAGCTAATAATACAAACCACCAACCAGTCCTCTCTCCACTGCAAGAGGCAACAATTTAATAGGGATTTAATGTGCTAGTTGCTTCTGTAGCTAAGTAACTTGCTTTTTCTCAATTTCAGTTGTAATATATTACATATTGATTTTCTGCCTTTACAACCTGTCCCCTCTCTTCCCATGGTACCAGTTTTCAGATCAATCAATAAAGAGCTTGCATTATGTCAATAAGTACTTATTGTTTACTGCAGAGCCCAAGTAATGTTCTGTGACTACATTTTCTTTCTTGAACAGCTTGGATTTTTGTTTTTTTGTTACTCCTCACCCGTAGGTATTTTTCCCACTGATATTTTAGACAGTGGGAAGGGGAGGTACAGAGAGAGAAACATGATGTGAGAGAAACATCGATTGGTTGCCTCCCACAAGTGCCCTGACCAGGGCCAGGGATCGAGCCTGCAACCAAGGTACGTGCCCTGGACCATGATCAAACCCGGGACCCTTCATTCTGTGGGCCGACACTGAGTAAAATCAGCTATGGCTTGTGTGGTGGTGTTTTTCCCCTGTGATTTTCATCTACTTTCGTTTCTTCCACTACATTCTCAATTTCTTTCCAACTTTCCATCGCAACAGGCATCTTACCGAGTCTTCTTTTTAGCCGGAAACTCCTTGGAAACTTCAGTCCTCTGACCCCAATCTGGACGGAGTGCTCTCCACAAAACTGCCATCCTGGGACTTTTTCAACTGCTTTTTTTGAACTGGGTCATTTTCTCTTTTAACTCTCATTTTCTTTTTTTTAAAATATATTTTTATTGCCTTCAGAGAGGAAGGGAGAGGCTCTGACAGAAACATCAATGATGAATGAGAGTCATTGATTGGCTGCCTCCTGCACGCCCCCTACTGGGAATTGAGCGCGGAAACCGGGGCTTGTGCCCTGACAGGGAACTGAACTGTGACCTCCTAGTTCAGAGGTCCATGGTCAACTACGGAACTATGTTGGCTGGTCTAAATCTCTCATTTTTAAGTATATTCTTAGTTAACTATCTAAAAAGATGAGATTTCTTTCTTCCAGCTAACCTTTATTTCTCTAGCACTCCGTGTTAACAGGAATGTGTCAGAAAGGTTGTCTAAATTCTTTCAGGTGTTTTCCAGTTCTAAAATTTACATTGTATTTATATTTAAAGATTCCAGAACTGGTAAAATTCTCCCTCTCTTCCTTGTGAACATATAGGTATTTCAATCTCTGATAACTCCCAACATCAGAATCATGCCCAGATCTGTTTCTATTGTCTGTTTTTTTCTCTTGGTTTTACAGTAATTCTAACATGCCTGATAATTTGAGTAAATGCTGAGCATTGTGTACTAAAAATTGGAGATTCTGAATTCCACCTCCCAGAGGGTTCTCCTCTCCTGGCAGGCAGATCACCTAAATCCCAATGAGGCCTATTCACTTGCAGCCTTACTTCAATATTGTGGCACTCTGGGGACAAGTAGTTACTCCCTCTGGCAGGCCTAGAACCCCAACCTCTGTCCCCCAGAATGACATGGCTGCAGAGATCTCTGCTTAGCTCTTTAACCTCCATTACTTTTTGTTGTTAATCCTCACCCCAGGATACTGTTCCATTGATTTTTAGAGAGTGGGAGGGGGAGAGACAAACATTGATATTAGACACATCAACTGGTTACCTCACACACACCCCAGCTAGGGCTGTGGACTAAGCCTGCTACTGGGGCACATGCCTTTGACCAAAATCAAATCTGGGACCTTTCAGTCTGCAGGCCCTTCAGTCCACTAAGACAAACTGGCTAGGGCCCTCCATTATTGCTTTCTGATGAACACCTCGAGTCTTGCAATGACAATGAGCAGCTTATGAGTTGGCAAATGCCTCAACAGAAGGTTGTATGCAGATGTGGGAGCTAACACCCACATGGAAATTTTACTCTCACACCCCAGCTGTCTGGTCCGACCTCTGTAAACTCAGCCCAGGGAGAGCTGTCATGTCACTTTCAATGTCTGGTCCCCCACATAAACTGGCCAATGTCAAGGAAAAGGCCAGGAAAATAGGAAGTGTCACCTGTGTGCTTTCCTTTTCCTGGGGATCCGACTGCCTCAAGTCTCACCAACACTGGTGGGCCCCCCAATACTTTTCACAAGTTGTTTTTATATATTTCTAGTTTGGCACAGACCAGCCTTTATAACTGGTCTGTGCCAAACTAGTCCAAAATGGGCTATTCTTCACAGCCAATTCCCAAAGTCTAGTCGCATCCTATGTATCTATGAAAATATACTCATTAGACGTATTTAGTTCTCTTTTATTCCCAAAGTTGCCTCTCCTGGGACCAGTTTTTATCTCGTGGTCTTGTTGCAGGATTTTTTAAATACCTGTGATCTCTGGGTGTATGTTTATAGGGACCGAAGCAGTTGGAAAGCATGTCAGTCAGGATGTAGCGGGCAGGCTGCCTCTGGGCTATCAGGCCAAGCTTGTAGGTCCAGTTCATATACCCTGGGCAGCAAATGCCAAGCTTCCGTGCATCTCGAGTGCTGAAACAAGCACTGCTGTATGCAAATGCCACCTTGTCTCCTACCCTTTTCAGAGCCGTGAGTCTCTCTAGTCCAGGAAGAATGACTGGCTTGCCCTGGCCAGTTTGGCTCAGTGGATGGAGCATCGGCCTATGGACTGAAAGGTCCCAGGTTTGATTCCGCTCGTGGGCATGTATCTTGGTTTCAGGCACATCCCCAGTAGCAGCTGATTGATGTTTCTTTCTCATTCATGTTTCTAATTCTATCCCTCTCCCTTCCTCTCTGCAAAAATCAATATATCTTAATACCAAAAAAAAGGCTGGATTCTTTCTCATGGGATCATGAGACAAGGATTCTCTTCATCATCTTATTTCATTTTTTATTCAGAAATGTGTTGAAATCTCAACTGCTGTGGAATGCGTTTCTTGTTGTCATTAGTAGCAAGACAAACAGTGGAATGACCTGAAGGCTTTTCCACCCTGGCCGTGTGGGCTTCTGCTCCACCTCCTCTCCTCCTTGTGTCTTGCTCTCGTTTCACTCCTTCACCCTTTTCCTCTCTCCAATTCATACAAAAGCTTCCCTTTCACATTCAAAGGTGCAGCTTCCACTGAGGAATCAAATGCTTAGGCCCCACCGCTCCCCCCCCCGGGGGCCAGGGTTGTGTGTGGAAGGTTTAAAAAAAGAGGGAGACACACACAGGGATCAAAGACTTTTACAGAGGGCATCCGCACCCCATTTCAAACAGCTCTGGTTATATGCTGGGATATCCCCAGCTTAGGTCATAAAGTTCAAGCTCTAGGCATGTGCTGGACCACACACCAAAGTAAGGTTAACATGTCAAGTGACATCCTTTTAGGGAAGACATAAGTGAAGAAACCAAGGTGCCCATTAACAGGAAATTAATTTTATTTTTAAATCCAGAACAAATAAGGAGACTTCTACCCATGGATGGCAAACTTAGACGGTGGCCAAGGTTGGGGGAAGAGGATGACAGCAACGGGGGTAGGAACACGTCCAAAC